CCAAAGTTAAACCAAGCTTTTGATCTATATGCCACCTCTCCACCAACTGACCATATAAAAACCAGGACTGGAGAATATTATCTTGTTTCAAATCATCCAATGATTTAAATTGCCAGTCCTGTCCTCTTGCAATAAGCAAATCCTTATAAACAATCCCTTTCAGTTTAACTCCCCTTGTAATTCCTTGTATTGCATGTTCTGGAATAGCCCAAATTGGAATTTTAACATTTAATTTATAATAATACTTTTTCCAAACTCTCAAAAGTGCACTTCTTATAATATGAGACTTAAAAACTTAATCAACCTTCTTATCAAAAGTATTTTGTTAATACTTTGCTGAAATCAAGTTATAATATTAGTATTCCCACACTCCTTTAATAGAATAGAATAGAATAGAATAGAATAGAATAGAATAGAATAGAATAGAATAGAGCTTGAAGGTACCTTGGAGGTCTTCTAGTCCAGCCCCTGCTCAAACAGGAGAACCATCTCAGACAGGTAATTTTCCAGTCTCTTCTTGAAAATTTCCAGTGATGAAGCACCCACGATTTCTGAGGGTAAGCTGTTCCACTGGTTGATTGTCCTCACTGTCAGGAAGTTTCTCCTTAATTCCAGGTTGCTTCTCTCTTTGATCAGTTTCCAACCATTGTTTCTCATCCTTCCCTCTGGTGCTCTGGTGAACAACCTGACCCCCTCTGCCTTGTGGCAGCCCCTCAGATACTGGAATACTGCTGTCATGTCTCCCCTATTTCTTCTTTTCTTTAGACTAGCCAAACCCAAGTTCCGTAGCCATACTTTGTATGTTTTGGTCTCCAGGCCTTTGATCATCTTAGCTGCTCTTCTCTGAACTTTTTTCAACTTCTCAACATCTTTTTTGTGATATGGTGACCAAACTTGGCTGCAGTATTCGAGGTATGGTCTTTCTAGGGCTTTATAAAGTAGTACTAATACCTTGTGTGATCTTGATTCTATGTTTATACAACCCAGGATTGTATTAGCTTTTTTGGCTGCTGCTGCATACTGCTGGCTCATAGTTAAGTGATCATCCACTAGGACTCTAAGGTCCAAGATCATGGGAGAAAAGAAACCAAGTTTTCTGCCATTAAGGTTCTTGGATGTTTCTATTTTAGTTCCATCCCTTTCTGGCTAAGAATGAGTTTTGGAATTTTTCCCGTGATAAACTGTATTTGAAACCAAATGGAGATGTAGAAGGAGATCTGATAATCAGGAGCTGCGTGGTTTCCACCAAGGAGAAGCCTGTACTAGAAAACCTGGGGAATTTTGAAAGACAGAGACTTATTATCAACCAAGATGCTCTTTCACAGTTAAAGTTGCTCAAGAAGGTGAGTGAAATATTGGCATTTTTTCTCCCTCTTCCAAAGCTTTAGGACCTATTTTAATTGGGCTAAGACTGATGACTAAGTGGATGACCTTGACCAAGAATTGAATGTGGGGAGAAAAACCCTTGTAGGTTTCTTAAATGGCTTGGGAGACTACAGTACTATTGAGCAAGATTTCCTTCAGAGGCTATAATATGGTATGCTGTTTTAAGTAATTCAGACATGCTAAGGGATTATACCTTAGGATAGACATCAAGGTCATTTTGTGTCTTCTCTGCAATCTGGTATCTCCATAAAAAAACTTCATAAAAATTACAGAGGCTCTGAAATCCTGGGGATTATGCTGCTGATAGCCTAATATTTGATTGTTCCTTATCTCAAAATAGCAAAGGAAACAGCAATTATTTTGGCCAGTCCCCAAGTTCTCAATAGGGTGGAAGAAAGGCATGGATAACTCTGGCCAAGGCTGGTTTTCTTAAGAACATAAGAGGCTATAAACGTGCCCTTTCAGGGGACCTGGTCCCCAAACATGAGAAACTGAATCCAGTGAAATTCAATAAAAACTGGTGGGTGGTACTGCTGGCCCCAGTGGGAAATAAGCTTTGGAATTAGGATTCAGTTTGTCCTGGTTGGGGAAAGTGTCACCTCATAGGCAAGGTCCATAGTTTGTGATGTTTTTAAGCAGACCAGACCAGGTTAGATTTGTTTATGCTTCTCTTTCACCCCACTAGTGCAATAGGGTTTCTGCTCCAAGGAAAGAGGGTGAAGCTTTCAGTTCATAATCATAATGACTGGTCTGATGGGAGATAAAGCCTTGGCCAAGAAAATTGAAACATTGAAACTTGACTTGAAAGTGAAGTTGTGATATCAGAATTAATGATGGAGAATTAGAAAAGAAATTCTATTTAGTTCTGGCCTTTGATTTCTAAGAGGGCATTTAATCTGAAAGCCACTTGAATGCAATTACTGATCTTAATTATTAGCTTCCCTAGGGGGGACAAAAGAGGCTCAAAATTTATCTAACAATAAATATGGATCTGTCTTTCTATGTCACTTGGTGTTGCCTGATTGTCGTTCTTCAACAGAAAGAACCTTTTCTTGTATATCTAACTAAGTCCCACATGCTGCAGCAAATGATGTTTGAATTAATTATTTTGAGGACATGTTTTCATGACCTCAACTCCTTGTAATTTCCCAACATTTCTAGAAAAGACTTAGTCTCCTTTGACCAAGATGGCAACCATTTAAATTGAAGAAAATATATAGAAAAAAAGCAAAGATCATCGCCTTTAAGGTTGACAGTCCTAATTAGTTGTTATGTAACTATGTATTTATATATATTTATATGAAGCCCAGAGACTACTTGGCTAATATTCATGTTGGCCTCCATTTTCCATAGATAGTTAGTCTTGACACATTTTTTTGTCATTCCTTGTTTTTCTGCTTAGTCCCTGCCTGAATCCAAATGTGTGGAAAAATGTGATCCAGGATTTGTCAAGCAGGTTCAAGAAGGGGAGCCATTTTGCTGCTATGACTGTGTTCCTTGTCCAGAGGGGACCATCTCCACTCATGAAGGTGGTTGAGCAAAAAATAAAAAAAAATGGGGGGGGGAGGCAGGCCTCATGCCAGTGGATTTATCCAGAGCATTTTTTATAAAAGTGCAAGTTAAAAGACAAATTGCAGTTCTACTGTTTTCTAATTTATTTTTAAATTGCACAATTTTATATCTCAATGGAAGAATAACAAAACAAGCTTGAGGAAGAAGACTCAGAAGAAGAAGGTATAGCAGATTTGGCAAGCTTTACTAGTGCCAGATAAAATACCTCTTCTGCTTTTCAGTTTGGATATTCCCTTCCATGTTTATCTATCTAAGAATATTTGAGCTCCTTGAAACTTGAGGAAACAGAGATAGAATCAAGATCACGTGAAGTATTAATACCACTTTTCAATGCTTTGGTAAGGCCACACTTGGAATACTGCATCCAGTTTTGGTCACCACGATGTAAAAAAGATGCTGAGACTCTAGAAAGAGTATAGAGAAGAGCAACAAAGATGATTAGAGGACTGGGGGCTAAAACATATGAGGAACGGTTGCTGGAATTGGGTATGTCTAGTTTAACGAAGAGAAGGACGAGGGGGGACATGATAGCAGTGTTCCAATATCTCAGGGGCTGCCACAAAGAAGAGGGAGTCAAGCTATTCTCCAAAGCACCTGAGGGCAGGACAAGAAGCAACGGGTGGAAGCTAACCAAAGAGAGAAGCAACCTAGAACTAAGGAGAAACTTCCTGACAGTTAGAACAATTAACCAATGGAACAACCTCCCTCCAGAAGCGGTGAATGCTCCAACACTGGAAGTTTTTAAGAAGAAACTGGACAGCCATCTGTCCGAAATGGTGTAGGATTTCCTGCCTGAGCAGGGGGTTGGACTCGATGACCTCCAAGGTCCCTTCCAACATTATTATTATTATTATTATTATTATTATTATTATTATTATTATTATTATTGTTGTTGTTGTTGTTGTTGTTGTTGTTGTTGTTGTTATCTTACATCAACTTCCTGGAAGAGGGGGGTTCTACATGGGCCTCCCCCTGAGAGGTGCCACTGATCCACAATGAGATGGTGTGGACAGTTATGGGTGCACCTCATTACACCCTTTTAACCATTTATGTGAGTAGACAACCCAGATTATTTGCAGGACTGGCTTTCTCTACTGGTGAATTTTCACAAAATAGGCATCCTCTGAACTGGACCTAAAGAGTTAACTGACTCTTAAACAGAAAATTAAATTAAACAGGAAATTCTTCGGGTCCTAGGACTTCCTTCAAGTTTATGGACCTTAGCTATACTGTACATATATTTTCAAAATTAGATTATTTTTAATTTTCTGCTGTGGAATTGTTAAATTGTGGGATTCTTTTAAAAAATGTTGCTTTCATTGAATTTTCTCCCAAGACCATATTTCTTGAAATGTAAAAAGACAGAATAGTAAAGAAATATTGGTGTTGTTGGTTTTTTTTGTCAGATATGGAAAAATGCACCAAGTGTCCTGATGAGAAATATCCAGATGGGAATCGAGTCCAATGTATTCCCAAAGTCATAACCTTCCTGTCTTATGAAGAACATCTGAGTATTATCCTGATCTCTTTTACCCTACTCTTGTTCCTAACTACAGGCCTTGTTTTAATCACCTTAATTAAATACAGGGAAACTCCTATTGCCAAAGCCAACAACCGTGACCTCTCTTACATTCTCCTGGTCTCCCTCCTGCTTTGCTTCTTGTCTTCTTTTCTCTTCATTGGTCAACCAATGAAAGCCACCTGCCTTCTCCGACAAACGGTTTTCAGCATCATTTTCTCAGTTGCCATTTCTTCTCTCTTGGCAAAAACAATCACAGTGGTGCTGGCTTTCCTGGCCACAAAACCAGGAAACAGTGTGAAGAGATGGTTGGGGAAGAGCTTGGCCAACTCCATCATCCTTTCTTGTTCTGCTGTCCAAATTATCATCTGCTCCATCTGGCTTGGAGTTTCTCCCCCATTCCCTGACTTTGACCTCCACTCTCAGCCTGGAGTCATCATCCTGCAATGCAACGAAGGCTCTGTTGTCATGTTCTACATCACCCTCACCTACCTGGGCTTCCTGGCTGTGATCTGCTTCATGGTGGCTTTCCTAGCCAAGAATCTCCCTGGGGCCTTCAATGAAACCAAGCTGATCACCTTCAGCATGCTGGTCTTCTGCAGTGTCTGGGTGACTTTTGTGCCCACCTATCTGAGTACCAAAGGGAAATACATGGTGGCTGTTCAGGTCTTCTCCATCTTGGCCTCCAATTGTGGTCTGCTGGGCTGCATCTTCATCCCCAAGTGCTACATTATCATTCTGAGGCCAGACCTGAATACAAAGGAACAGTTTACGACAAGAAGAAATGTAGACACATGAGACAAAGGAATTTCCATTTAAATTTTTATTTTATTAAAAAGATTAAAATACAAAATTCAGAGGGAAAATAAATTAAAGAAAAGAATTAAACTCTAGACTAAACCTCAAAAATGGCCGAAATTGTTCTCTATCCATGAGGGAGCCCAGCTATTTCACTTGAAATTATTAAAGGGCAGTTGCAAAAGAGGAAAGCAAGTTCTTAGAAAAATGGAAGTATATTAACAATTTAGAAAGACAGAAGGAACCCATGAGGCAACCTTGACACCTCATTTCTCATTACATTTTATTAAACCTGGCATGGCAGTTCAACTGATATGCTCCTTTTTATTTAGACAAAAACTCTTTCTTAAGGATATTAAGAGTACATAGCTGGGGAAGTAACCTGAGACTTTCTAGTTATGAATATTCATGTTTACATGATCTATTAGATATGCATATGCATAATTATCATTTTGTCCTCCTTTCCTGAAATGTATAAATATCAGTGCATCATTTTATCTGCAGGATTTCCTCCCACTATTTTTGGGAGGGAAATTCCTCCAGTGTCCACTGAATAAATAATAACTGCAGTGAGCTTTGATTATTGCATGTTTTTTTTTGTGGTCCTGTGTTGGATTCCATAGAAATAGATGTCAGGTGGATTTCATAATCTTTCCCCTACACTTTTTTCCTTCCCTTTTTTGTCCCCCATTTTTCCACTATTTTATACTTTTAGAATAATATTATAATTTTAAAAAAGAAACCCACACTATCCAGGGAATGTCACCACTCATCTAGCCAATGGCCTGGGTGAAGAGTGAAGTGTTTAATAACCTTCAAAACAACAGAAGGTCGGGAATGTTATGGATCTCTCTGGGAAACCTCATTTCAGAGGGCCATCACTGCTACAGAGAAGGTGCCCAACTGAGGTACCAGTGGATAGCATTGATTATTCAAAGGTACCTGGAATGTACAGAGAGGCACCTTTCAAGAAGCAGACCAGGTGCCTCTAAGTATGGCTACTTTCTTTCTGTCATCATCAGGATAATCCTGCATATCTTCTCAGATCCTCCATTTCATTCAATTCGCAACTATTCCATTCTAGAAGCAGGTGTACATATCAATTCCCTCTCCCAATTCAGGTAAGAAACTTAACTCTCCCCTACAAATGACCCAGATACATTATGAACACAGGACTCCCAATTCCAAAGTCCTTATGATCTTTAGGAGAAGGAATTCATAGTCATTTTCAGAGATGGGAAGTCCAAAGAAGCACAACGTCATGGAACATGTCCACACAAGACCAAGAATCACCATGTCCCCCCAAACAAGTTTCTGGGTGCACATAGCAAGAAATCGGGTCATACATTCACCACATTGTGTGCACTATCACCATTTCAGCTGCAGACATCACAACCCATTGTTTATTTCATAAACTAAGAAACTTCAAAATGTAAAAAGATCTCAAAATTTCATTTCAGGTGCAAACAATTTTAAAATCAGTTCCAATTTTGAATTAATATGTTGGGATCTAATAAGAAAAGAAAGTCACAAACAGGACTACTCTTAAAATTAGAAAGTTCAATGGTACTTATTGCTCCCTTGACATTGGAAGACAGATAGGCACTAGAGTTAAGTATCATCATCCTAGAATGTCACCAAACTCCATAATTCTGGGAGACCTTTCTGAGCAGTCTCTGGAGACAAGAGACAATGTTGAAGGACAGTAGAAGTCAATTACTTAGGTATTCCTGCAGAACCACTACACAGCAGTGCCCCCAGGGATATATTTACGATTTGTCACTAACATGCATTTCTCCACCTACCTGTCTGCACATGAAACCCCAGAAAAAGTTCAAGATCCCCAGAGAAGTTGCTTCTCACTGTAATTATCACCAGCTCAGACTTTGAGAAGTCTTCTATTTCTCCAGTGATTGCCACTGATGCAAAGATCAGATTGAAAGCAACATGGAAGAAATCTTGAATCAGAAAAGGATAAACTATACTGGTTATGCTGGGTGTTTCTTACAAGATTTAGGACAGGTTAGGGCTCTGTTGTTGAATCTATCACTCTCTCCTGTCCACATGAAGCTCAGTTTGCCTCTGTCTGACTCAGGAAAGTCACTGGCATTTTCATTTTTTGTGAGAGTGCTTCGATTTTCCTCAAACTCTTCTTGTTGTTTTAGAATCACAGAAGTGACTGTGTCAGTCCAGGGAGAAATGGATCTCCTGTTTCTGTTTCTGATGCTGCTGCTTGTGCTGTCCAAGAGAAACTCTGGAAAGCTCAGAATCAAATGCCCCCCAACTTTGAAGCTGCAGGACATAGGAAATCCATGGAACTTTTACAAGCCAGGTGACCATCTCATTAGTGTGTTTCTCACTGCAAGAAAATTTTCACTTCAGCCATTACAGTTCAATGGGGCTCCTTACCTTAGTTCTCCACAGTAAGTCATTCAGTGTAATGGAATTGCATTCCCTCCATTTGCATTTCTATAATTCTTCTTCCTTTCTTCTTATTTCACTTATTCCTAGGTTGCAGGACACGTGTAAGTTCTTGGATTATTTTGATTTATAGAGCTCTCCTACCTTTAACTTATCTCACACGACAGACCCAAATGCAGGGATACAGGGAAAACCCTAAGAGAACCAGAGGATCTTCTCTTCTTCTTGCAGTCATGAATTCGTTCTTTAAATACTGATTTTTATTTCATGTAGTTACTGAAAGTGTTGTAGTTGCTTCAGCCAGCTAAAATTAAATGCCTTCTCTTTATAGGCATAAGGATGACTTCTTTCTAGAATTGCTTTGCTGGCTCACTTATTAAGCTATGTTCTTGCTTTTATGGTAGTTCTACTTTAAAGACTGAATCATTGAATGCTTGTTATTCGACAAATGAAAATCAGCACAAATAGCGCTCTCTTTGTGATTCTTAATGCTAATGGAAGACTATTTCCATCCCATCTTCTCAACACTCATAAAAATTAAATGGTGATGGGTAACAATCATTTGTCTCTGATTTTGAATCAGACAGAACACTTAAGTGGAGACAAAAGGAATATATGAGAAAAAATGATGATGGTGGTGGTGGTGGTGATGGTGGTGATGATGAACCTTTTTTTGCAGTATGATATCTATTGGCCCTGGATGTACCCAACGCTTCATATTTGCTATTGAAAAGATCAACAAGAATGACCAACTCCTGGACAATCTCACACTGGGTTACAACATCCATGACAACTATGATAACACACTTGGCACTTCAGAAGCCTTGCTGGACATGCTCTCTACTGGAGAAGCCAATGTTCCCAATTACAGCTGTGGAAGGCAGGACAACCTTTTGGCTCTTCTTGATGCAGCTGACAGTGACATCTCCATTCAGATATCAACTTTAGTAGGGTCCTACAAAGTCCCACAGGTTTGTGTGTGTGTTTTTCTACCTGGTATAGTGAATGGGGTGGTGATGGGTTAGGTCCAAATATATCTTCTATATGGAACGCAAGAGCTGCTTTTCACCATGGCCATTGTAGGTTTCATGGCTATGGATTGGGATCCACAATGGGGAGATGGCAGGAATCAAAACTAACATAACCTCTCATGAAAACAACCACATTTCTTTGAGGGTTTCTGCTACACACTTATGAGGTGAGGAGAAACTTTGCGTCCAATCAAAGGGTCTTCGGTACAATAGGAAGGTATAATACTAATGGGAAGCTCACGTTTTCTACATGATAGCCTTACCCCACTCTGTATCAAGGCTGCAGCTGTGGAAGTGACCAACAGTATTAAGTATCTGGGGGTGCAGATAACTAATAATCTGACTTGGTCTCTCTACATGTAATCCTTAGTGAAGCGTGCAAACCAGCGTCCGCATTTCCTTCATCAGATGAGGAGAGCACATCTTTCTCCTGTTCTGGCCACTTTTTACAGAGGCACAATTGAGAGTGTCTTAATACATTGCATCACTGTTTGTAGCAATGCCTCAGATAGAAAGTCCATACAGAGAGTCATAAGGACAGCTGAAAAGATTATAGGAAGCCCGCTTCCTGTTATTCAAGGCACTGCTTATAAGCACTATGTGCTTAGAGCTCAAAGCTTTGTTAGAGACCCCATACCCACTTCAGTGTCTGTTTCTGAACTAGACTGTGTTGTTTGCCACATATCTGAACTAAACTGTGTACATCTGAACTAGACTGTGTTGTTTCTCTGGCCATTTATTTATTTGTTATGTTTATGCAGTGTATATTGGAGGTGGTTACCCTTTGAGAGCTGTATGCAACAAAATTTCATTTTAATATATGCGGATTAGTGTACATTTAAAGTGACAATAAAGTTATTATTCCATTCCATTCCATTCCATTCCATTCCATTCTATTCTATTCTATTCTATTCTATTCTATTCTATTCTATTCTATTCTTTTCTATTCTATTCTATTCTATTCTATTCTTCTATGGGTCTTACTAAATTATGATATTTTCAATGGTGAATAAATCTCAGATTCTAGAAAAGAGTCCCAATGGATTATCCTACCTACTGTTGAAAAACATAAATGTCTTTTAGACTCATAGTGACCACTAACATTAATTAACCAAGCAATTAAACATTAATTAAATATTAAGAATTAAATTATTAAAAATATTTTAAATAAATAAAAAATTGCAAGCGTATTAGTCAGCTTGTTAACTATCTTGCACTAATATATTCATGATCCAATTCATCATAAAACACTTGAATAGCAATAAAGACCCTGGAGAGCACTTTTTACTGGTTGAACTATTCAAAAATATATCCTGACTGGTGGGACCCTCTATTGACAGGCTTATTTACATATATAAATAATATCTGCTTGGGTGGAAAGTGGCAATATAATTTCGTTTATAATAAAAGGGATATAAAAAGCATCCTAGTAGTTATTGGTCCTTTGGTTTAATAGATATTATGGCAAAAATAAATGCTAAGGTCCTCCTGAGTAGAGTTGAGAGTGAGTGGATGACAACAGCATTTCTTACAAAAGAACAAGTAGGCTTTTAGACAGAGATGACTCACTTGTCTTTGATTTGAACCATCTAATTACAAAATATGTCAATCAGGAAAACAACGGTTTGTTTTCTTTGTAGACCTTAGTGCATTTGACACAGTAAGCAGAGAAATATTATCGAGGAAATTGATTGCCCTGAAAAGAAACCCTGATCAAAGCCCTTTTTACAAGCATGTGTTTCAGAGTGCATTTGGGGCTCAATGGAGCCATGAGAAGCAGGATCAATATTTATCAAGGGGAAAGTGAAGGGTACATGTTTGAACCATTTTTATTCAGTCTAGACATTGACTTTCCTGCATTAATGAACGAACCTGGAATATTGAAATTGAATTGGATGAACAGCTCATAATGGACCTTTCAAATTAAGTATTTAAACAAAGGAAACTTTAATATCTTTAGGGGGTATTTTCTTGGCAAATTTTGAATATCTGGACAATGGTTAAACACAGAAGAGTAAACCTCGTCCCTTATAAGGAACAATCCTAGCAACTACAGGCCCATTGTTCAATAGATATGTAGCAAAAAATAAATGATTGTATTTCTGGAACTCTAATATAGAAGAGATGATACACCTATTATTTGACTGTCAACTGTATTTGAAAGAGAGAGATGAGAACCTTTGATTACACAATAGACAAAAAACTTATTGTGACACTTACATTAAAACAAATATATTTCCTGTATGTTCAAAATTCAAAATAGAATTTTGAACATAATTCAGAATTATATTCAGAACATAGTTCAGAGTAATTCAGAATTATTCACAACATAATAGTTCAGTTGAGATCTGCATATGTTGGTGTGATTGTGGTAAATTGTAGGCATACTACTTAAACATGATATGAATTCTTTATTCTTATTCTTTTTTAATTCATTTGTTTCTTCAATTCTATTTTACATATTTTTTCTATTTTATTTATTCTTATTAATATTCTGTATTTTATATTCTATATCTTGATATGGCCTAATGGCTAATAAACAATAAACTAATCTAATACATTGATAAGAATCACGTTGGATATATATTAAAAATTAAAATTCTGAACCTGATCTGTTCCAAATATAACGTGATGGCCCGTTGCCTGGAGGCCGTAAGGGTCTGGATGGGGAGGAACAGACTCAGGCTCAACCCTTCCAAGACCGAGTGGCTGTGGCTGCCGGCGCCTCGGCATAGTCAGCTGACTCCATCGCTGACTATAGGGGGCGAAATTTTGGCTCCCTCGGAGAGGGTACGCAATCTGGGGGTCCTCCTGGATTCACGGCT